CGGTACTCGTTACTTGCAAATAAAAGGAACGCGTTACCGTCTTACGTTACCTGAAAATAGAAGGAACGCGTTACGCTACCGTTACCGTAGTGCATTTTACTTTTGCGTTAATTCCTAGTTGCAAATTGACGGTAACAGCATTTTTTTTTCAATGGAGTATTCACTGGTGTTTTTTTAAAGTGGGACTTTTTTGCGTTGGGAAGAGACCGACAATTTTTTTAACGTATGCCGATTGAGCGCAATCATTAATAACTTGGCGCTTATATTTCGTTCCAGCTTAAATCTAGACGTAGCCGACACTACTAGCTAATGAGACCAATGAAACAGCATCAAAAGCGCCATTATCTGGGCCTTTCTTGTTTATGATTGGTTCAGCGATGATTGAGCACGTACAGAAACGTGATGAACACCATGATCGTGTCCTTTTAACGGTGTTTGAATGGTAGCGCTAGCTCGTATCATCGGCTGCGCTTCGACTTATGATGAGACATAATATAGGAACAAAACAAAAAAATTAAGTGTACTTTGTTTTTAGCTTTTGGGTAGAAGAAGGTGTAACGAGTAACGTAATTAAAGGGACCATGAAATGACCTTTTTACTTTTTCCAGATAACTTTTACATTAAACCGTCAATGTTCACTGAATGCCGAACAGGCATCCGTTTTCGTCTCGGTTTATTAACTTCTACACAAAAAATTATTGAAATATCGACTTTTTCATTCTCTCCAACTGACCGCAAAACAAGCCGTGACGTGAACCGTTTCCGGAACCGGAAGTTCTCCCGGCAGTAAGAGAATGGGAGTGTTAGCGGCAACGAGTTGGGGTGCGCCGGTAGGTTTTACTGCGCTGATGTCACCGACGTATTTCCTGAATCGGCGCCTCTCATCGCCGCATCGCAGCTGAGCGAAATTCAATGAAATATGTTGCGCTACAGCGACAGCATGGGACTAGTCCCATACGCCGGTATGCCTGTTGGGAAGTGCAGCGAGTCTTCCGGTGAAGACTCCAGAAGTCAACCACCCTGTCATTGTTGGCAGAAGGGCCGGCCCGTGTCAGTCGTTTGCAAAGCGACGTAGATGGCGTTTTTCGCGGCCTCGGAGATGCAGGAGCGAGCCGACGTTAAAAAAGATACGTTTGAACTACGAGTGTCAGCAAGAGCCACGTAAATACCTGTTTACACTCGGAGCGGACGCGCGCGCTCGATGGAAGTGCTGTATTCGCGCTGTTTGTAAGCGCTTCGGGACCGTTCTTTTACGATTGCAACTCGATACTGACGCGACACTCGGCAAAGAAAGGTTGGACCGGGGTTGTACGTATACCTCCCACGAACTGTTATAGCTCGACAGTGACGTGCAGTCTGTCAGAATAAAAATGGCATACCAATAACAAAGTGTACATACCGTGTTACGAAGGTAATCCATACGGCGTTTATTTCAGCTCTATATCACACAAGACAAGAAGAAAGAATCGACGAGAGTCCCTTTTCGACGAGTGTTCGTCAACACTGCCTCGGAAAACAAGGGGAAGAGATTGACCTCACCTCTTAATCTAGAATTGAGGTCAGCGATCAAACTATAATACGGGAAGGGTCCACAAGGGTCGCGCGGGCATATTCCATTTAGCACGCCAGCCGGTCGTAGGCAGACGGTCTTGCGACGAAGCAACGCAGCGCCGAGTCGGAATGCCTGCTAGGCCTATATTCTCAGCAGCTCGCTTCGTCGGAGTCGGTGGATCCAGCGTTCTTGTTCGTCGTGGACTGTTTTAAGTACTGTTTTCTTGCTGCTTGAAGTCGGCACGCGCGGGAAGAACACGTAGAAAAATAAACGTTCAGTCAGTCAGAGTTTTAAGAGGAAGGAAAACAAAGAAAATAAACGCTCGTCGGTCGCCGCCACCGCCGCCACCCAAGTAACTGTCGGCCCTGCCCTACTGCGCACGCGCAGTAGTTGCTTCGTTTACCACACGATAGATGGCGCTTGGCTCTCAGCATTATCAAATTTGGCAATTTTCACCACACATCTCTAATTAAGCTACAAAATGTGGATCTGAATATTATTTAACAAAACTTTTAGGAAACATTCGCCGGCTATTTATTGTTTACGATCGCGGTGCTGGTGAGGTAGGCTCTTACCCAATAGGCGACCTGGATTTGGCTGACGTGCTCCATTTCCGGGGATGCATCGTAGTGAACAGGCGAAGGAAGGAAGGCGCAAAAGAGTCCAGCTTTCTTTTAAAAGTTCAATAGCAAATAATTTTTTTGGCTCCCTATTTTTGTGTTTTTGTGTTTCTTTTCACACCTTTTACGACGTGCGGTGGATGAAATTCGATTTTAAAATCATTTCATGGTCCCTTTAAGTTATCCGTTACTGGAAATAAGGAACGTAAAAAGGTTATCCATTACTAGGGAGTTTTCGTAGATGGTTTTCGCCATCCCTCAACGCTTTCCGCATCCCGCAACGATACCCGGAACTCTACCGTCGAGGCCATGGGAGCGCAGCCGCAGTAGCTGTTTTTTCGTTGCGGAGGGCTTAGCGGAGGGGGTAACGCGGTCTACGAGAACTCCCTAATGTCTTGGAAAAGTAACGCGTACGTTACTACGCTACCGAAAAAAGTAACGCGTTACCGGTAACGCCGCTACTAGTAACAAGTTACTGCCAAGACCGCGCTGAAGCAAGTTATCTGAGTTATGGGAAACGACATAAGCTATATGGACGTTTTGCGCACGCGCCAGATGACAGCCGCCATTGCTGACCTTCTCTTGACTTACCCAGGCGCCGAGCCAGAGAAGCGGGAGTTGCCGAGCTTCTACAAAGGCAAATGCTGAGGAGAAGGACACAGTAGAATATACAATGGCAATAACCTGCCCAGCTGTAATCACGATGAAGCGAAGTAAACGAAATCTAAGGTCGGTTGTGGCGGCGCCCATGCGCAGCTGCTGCTGCAGAGTCTATATTATAATTGAAACAAAAGTGAGAGGCAGCCTCATTGAAGCTCTTATTTGCCGGCCCTCACGCCATACGCTGTCGGAACGATGTCTTGTTATTACAAACTCTCATCAGATTCAAAAGCAGTCCCTGCTGCGCCCGTTCCAAATCTAGACTGCCTGTAATCGCCCAATGTGAAATCGACCCATGGTTCCGTGCCACTTCCTGCAAATGAAATTTTCATGAAATGACCTAATGGGACACTGACATTTCACAACAAAAGTTATTTTTAGTTTCTGCCAGGCGATTTATTCTGGTGTCATGAAACTACCCAATCAATATTTTCCTACATCGTCATGTATATTTTTTAATAAAGTAAACAAAACCGCAACTGGTCGAAACCGAAACCGAAACTGCGCTGGGGAGTAAGAAGCAATCTAGAGGAGGAGAGAGTTGGGCCGGAAATCACGTGTATACATGGCTTGCACTTTACGTCATTTCCGTTGTCCTTCAGAGAAAAGGGAAAGAGGGAGCTCCCTTCTTTTCAGGATCCTCCTCTGTGCCTCCCGGAGAAGCACTGACGTCGCTGTTCTCCTCCCAAAAGATTATAGAAGATTAACCTGCACTCAAAATTCTTACAAAAGCAGCTTCGCTCTCCTCTTTTTACTTGGTGTTCAAAAGTATGCAATGTGACGTCAGTGCAACGAGCCTATACAGCCGACCGAGTTTTGTTTTCTTTTCTTGCCCCTTCGTTTTCATGGTTGTGCGCAATAGAGGAAAAACGCGCACGTCCCACGTCGCGCGAACACAAACGTCAATCACTTCATGCTTTGTCGTTTGCGCGTTTTTCAAGCTTTTATTTCGTGTTCTTAAGGCGAGCGATGTCACTAGCCAGGAGAGGCTCGACGACTCGGCGGCGTCTTCGTGTGAAACAGCTTGGTGGTCGGGCGTGTCGTACGGTATAAAATCTAACTACTTTGATCGGTGAACGATTTCTCTTTCGAAGCTAGACAGAGTTGTCGGTGCAGCAAACTACAGTTCTGAAGTAAAAGTCCCACACCTGTCGTTACCCGCCATCGCTTAGCCCGCTTCGTTCGGCCGGCCAGCCCGCGACTTCCGCGATACGTCGCCACGTTGAGAATTACGCCGAGAATGCACAGAACGCTTCCGGTTCTCTGTGCCATTTTTTTTTTCGTCTCTGCAAACAAAGTATTTGCAGATATTTAGAAGCCACAAGAATGGGTATCACATTTTTTAATGATTTCTTATTTCGAGTGTGTGGCTTTGTTGAAACACTACTTTGATTCTATGTGGTGGGTGTGTATGACCAACTACACGCTGTATAGATATCCCCACAACCCAATTATTATTGTGGTGGGTGTGTCTAAATCTTAGAGAACGGCACGTGACCGCGGAGCAGAGAGTGGGCGCGACTCAGACCGGCCAGTTCTCGATCGGCGGTTTTCGGGTGGTAAGAAAGCTAATTTCGAGCCGCAAATCATGTTCTGTGTTGTTGGACTGTCATATCTCATGTACAAATAAAAACCTTTTTGAGCATAAATGTGTCTCAATAGGTTTCGCGAAGAGCCCATTTTCTCAGCTCTTGTCATTTGAAATATTGCGCAAAATTCATGACGCAAATACTTTATTTACTCTACGGAACAAGAAAAAAAAGACATGAGTTGCCATTTTCAGTTTTAATATGTTGTGCCCCCAATATAGCTCCGTTGTCCAGACTTTCAAAAAATTTGCAAAATATCAAGCCGGTAAAAAATGATGCCGTTTACACTGTTTAAATCGAGGCGTCTTAGAATTTTTTTCCGTTTGACTTTACAGTGAATCTAAGAACACGCTAAGAGAAGCCGAAGCCAATCCAGTGCAGCCTGGCTGTCAAGTGAACTTTGAGGGAGACGCAGCACCTTGGGGCGGCATATGACGAGATATGACCAACACTCTAACTTGGATAGGATGGCACATTAACTCCGCTGCGGTCCAACATGGTCAAGCGGAGTGCAGCAGGTTCTCACTTTTTTTTTCGCTCGAAAATGCAGAAGCCTTTTTGAGTGGTATAAATAAATTTATTTTGATTGCTGGGCCATCAAGTTTTTATTGCTCTTTGAGTTCTACACAAAGGGTGGCTAAATTCAACAATATCATCATCCGTGTCCGAGGTTTGAGGTATCTTCGGGGTGTTTCAAATGAAGGACGTAGGACAACTGCTTCTTAGTGAACCAGCTGTAGCTGTTGTCAAATGTGAATATATCTGATGATAAAGCAAAACATGTATGTTCGTTTTATAGCTTTCAGCAACAAGAAAATACGATCGAAATTGTGTACATGGACCAATTAGCAAAATAATAAAAAATATAGTGCTAAATACAAATAAAAAACACCCTAACAAAAGTGTGCAAGATGAAACTTTATTTATTTAGAAATTAATGATACGTAGAGTAAACCCGCGCCCGAGAAGTAGAGAGCTTATCATATGGAAATAGTCTTCAACGTAAATTTGATTCCCTTAGTTTGATATCTGCCACTCTAATTGAACCCTGAGAAGAAACATCATGGCTAAAAGAACAGTGGAGCCAATGTTACAATAATTAGGGTCATATAAAAGATATGAAACCTTTAGGAATAACTGTTATTTAACGTAAAACAAGAAGATACTCAGTCAGGAAAGACAGTGAGTTTTCGTTATATAAGCTGAATGCCAGCTTATCTGCAAGGATACATTAGGACTCCTAGCCCTTCTGAAGTGACAGAGGTTCTTAAAACAACATATCATTGATGTTAAAGAAAAATGAAAAGTACCTCACACCAAAATGCTATAGCTTTATACCCTACCCGCGCGTTCCCTTATTTTAACCTTTATAACTATTTTTGCGCAACTTTGCCAAGATGCATGTTCTTTGTACGTGAATCGCATCGCGACAAATTGGGAGCTCCCATCTGTATGTAATTGAATTTTTATTTTAAACACACTTTTAGTATTTGAAAACGAATCATTGACACATTTCTTTATGTGTTATTAGACAACATTTAATTTTAAAACATGTTATACATAATGTTCATTCTTCCTTACATGCATGATAAAGTCCCAGTGCAGTCTTTTTCCGACCTAAATGGTTTTTCTATTCCCGAGGCAGTTTACTAGCCGTTGCGGGATCAGAAGCCTTGAACACAACAACGCCCAATGCTCCTGCCAATTCGCTTCACAACTCGTGTGGGTTTTGGATGCCACAGCCGCGCATTTCATGATGACCTCCGACGTGGGCTCATCAAGAGAGCTAATTAGAACTGGGTTACGTTCTGGGTATCTGATGCATTTTATGAACCTCCTAGAAATGTTTGGCTCCTTTCTTCTCTCCTTTTATCCTATTCTAGAATTTCGAGCTTAAGCTTTCATACTGCCGGTGGCAAAATGATCTTTCATGCTAAATTTGGTTCTCTCTACGCTCTCCTAAGCTTTTATAAAATATCTAAATGAGAATTTAAAAATATTTGTGTAAGACTTTCTGTTTCTCGTCTGTATAGACGACATATTTTGTGTTATCACTCCCATATCCGTTACCTATTTTGTGTTGGCTGTGCAACTGTTTAAATCTTAGGTACACTCAAATTTTAAATACCATTTTGGCAAAAAAAGGATCATAGAGATTGCGTTATATACTTTTTAGTAAATTGTTTATTTATTTCTTGCTGTTTTTTTAAGAGTTGATAAACTTCTAGATTAAGCAAATACCATTCTTGCATATTGTTTTATGTTCTGAACTTTAGGGGGATAGGAACCCCGTCAGACAACAATGTCTTTTGTCCCTGCCTCCCTTCCTGCCGCATCGTCTTTAAACATAAAAAAATGAATAAAAGACGTTGACGCCACCTATTTGTTTACATTATGCCACTCAATGAGGAAAAAAGCAGGCGTATTGCAAGACATTGGTAATTGTGTTCTTTACTGGGAGCTCTGCGGCACCTCTTTCAATGCCTACATATGTAAAGTAAAAATTAATGCAGATGCCACAGCTTAAAGCAACATCATTCACGAACGCCGAGTAAGCTTCGAAAAGCAAAGTCCAAAATGAACCTCAAAATGTACTAAAAGTTAAATTTTTTTTTAGTGTTTCATGATAAGCGTTTATAAACAAGCTTCTTATTTTGGTAAACATTCAAGAATATCTAGCGGTCCTAGCCGAACAAAGAATATAAAACATTTTTGCTTAAATATTGATATTAAAATCAATTAAAAAAATTACAGGACTGCCCGTCGTGCGTGCCTCTTTTTAGGCTGTAATTTTTTCAAGACAAGTATCGCCTGGAAGCTTTTATCAAGGTAGGCTGAAATTATATTCTCAGTTTAAATAATATTTTTGCACTACAGTTTCTTGTTACACTCGTGTCCACATGCTTTCTTTTAAAGTGGCACAATAGAGAATAGAGAATAAGAACAATAAAGAGATGATGACTGCACAAATGCCTACGGAGCGTAGGCATTTGTGCAGTCATCATCTCAATACTTTTGCTGCTTTTTCTTCACAATTTTATAACCACATCCGGAAAGTTACCAGCTAGGTGAAGCAAAACAAACGTGTATTAATATAGCTCTGATATGTATAAAATTTAAAGGAGAATTAAGCCCTTACATGTTCCAGGCTCAGGGCAGCAAACTTCTCCACTCTCAGTGACCTGGTCACACTTCACCCTGCTGAGTGGCAACAGCTCCTTGGAAATTCCGCTTTCCGCAGAGACATATGCGATTCCGAAGCCCAAATCGTGGCCGGGATCGGTCTGGAACCTCCACTGCAGCCTGGTGCCGGCCCGTTCCACCCTCACGGGAACTTCCATCTTCTTTCCCTGCCCCAGGAAGCATGTGGTGGCCTCAGGATCAGCGGACACTCTTGGACTGTTTCTCAGGTACAGTTCCGAAGGTACCTCGCCTCCTCGTCCTACCTGCGAGGGTAGTATTTGTTCAAACACAAAGTTGCACCGAAAGGCAAGGTGTGAAAGTGCTCGTTCAAAACTGACTCAGGTGACGACAGTTTGGAGACACTTCTGAGGGTGACTCATCAAGAATAACTTGTCAAATATTAGCCACAAAAAACACCGAACTTACAAAAATATTGAAGTGGCTAGGTCGTACACGCGTACCCCAACAAATATTTGGCAGATCTATAGTTACGCCTTAAAAGGCCATTTAGGATAAGGTACTATCTCTCTAATCCCCGCCCTGTAATTCTATAATCACCTCAGCCCTCACTGGCTGGAGAGGACTGACGTGTGGAAAGTATGTTGTAAACTGGTTACTTTGTACTATGGTAGTCTTTTGTTCAGCATAATATTTTGTTTAAAGGCCGACCTACAAAATCATTTTCCGCAGGAGAAGAGGTTTCCTCCTTGCCACCCAGAAAGGAGGAAACCCCTTCTCCTTTCCACGGAGACTAGCTTCCGGACCCGCCTTTTTCAGGGGAGGAGGAGGAGGAAGGAGTGCGAGAGGGGAGGGAGCGAAGGTCGTTGGGGAGCACTTTCCTACCCTGCGGAAAATGGTTTCGTAAGTCGGCCTTTAAGAGAGAAATATCTAAAAACTTATTACTGTCTACAAAAAAAATGACACCTTATATTTTAATTTTTTTTAAAGCACAAGGTTTTTCGTTAAGGTTGAATAGCCCCGACAAACACTGCGTCAGCCGAACGCTGGCGCAAAATACAGCAAAGTCAGCCAAGCGCTGCATTTAACACACCGCCACATGGTTCGTGTTTTTCATCCCGTGATTTTAGTTGTCAACTTAGGCACTAAAAGCGTGAAGGTTGGGTCACCTTCAATATCGCCGCGCATGTGCATATTTCACGACATTTTTAGGTTTAACAGCAGTCTGCGATTGCGTATTCCAGATAAATTTCTCGCACCCTTTGTTTGCCATGTGTATAAGGCTCGCGTCAAGCATCAACCTGTCATTTGATAAAATGTTACACTGGACCGTACTGATAGAGACCAGGAGGGACACCATCTGCTGCGGTTGAACTAGACAGATGTCATGCGCTCAGCTCACGTCACGGTGTAACGACGTCAGGTGACGTGACACCATTACGTTGTGCAGGGCCGGCCTTTGGGGTGGGCGACCTGTGCAGCCGCACAGGGCGCCATTCATAGGGGGGCGCCGGAAGTGCCGCCAGGTCATGCAGGACTCAAACCTCGAGGTGATAAAAACAAAATAAAAAAAAAAGACCGGATCGCGGAGGGCCCCCCCCCCCCCCCCTTACAGGTGGAAAAGGTGTTGGCACTCGCCGTCTGGTATTTCGACCGCAAAACCAACGACTATAGGTTCTTGTTATAACCGGCGTCCATCAACTCGCAGCCACCTGCAGATGTTTTACTATAGACAACGTCTCCTTCTTGAGGTTCAAAGCGTCATGGAATGAATCATGAACGACTATGCAAGCGAGCGGAGCAAAACCTGACTCGCAAAACGTGATGGTGCCAGCATGCCGCACTCTTAGCGCAACTTACCGAACGGTGGCGCCAAGCTGATCGGCTAGCAAATCAGTGTGTCGGAGTGAGTCGCGTGACAAAATACTATTGGAACGAATTTGGGCTTTTAGTTATCACGTGCTTCGCTCAGAGGCTCTGATTGGCTCGCAGAAAATGTAGGCTTCGCCCTTTGCCAAGTTAATCTGAGCCGAAGTATGCCTTCGTTCAGGAGTCTGACCGGGGGTAAAATGAACGCGATTCGTCCCGACATTCGCTCGCTGTGAAGTCTCTAGCAGTAGGCCAAACGAACCAATCTGTGTATCAGCGACCCGCGACCACTCCGGACTCGCTATGGCGATCAATGTTGCCAACTCAAAATTCAGAAACTGGCCGCAAGAATACCGATAACCGCTAAAAACCGCTAAATGTATAATGTTGCGCAAGAATGGCCGAATCACAGCATGCAGACCCTGACGTCCCACATGAAGCTCAAACTCTTGCAGGGCGGCTCACGGAAATTAAGTTTCTCGTTTCCATTTTTTTGTGGTACAACATTCTTTTTCAAGTTAATGTTGTAAGTAAGAACATGCAATGCAAAACGAAGGACATCGTAGCAACCACCCAGCTGCTGAAAGCATGCAGCGATGTCGGGCAAGGAACTGCACTGACAACTGCGAACGACCTTGCTGAGAGCATGCGTGTTGACAGAGTAATGAAACCGGCCCCTCAACTGCGGCGGAAAAAGCGCGAATTCAGTTATGAGCGCCAAGACGAGGTTGATGATGTCAAGACAAAATTCAAGCGAGGGGTCTTCTACGAGATGGTTGACACAGTAAAGATGTCGATTGAAGAACATTCCATGCAGATGGAGCAGCACGTGAGCCTCTTTACGACCTCACCGGACTTCCCGACAAAGCAGAACTTCTTAAACTGTGCCAAGGCCTTGACCATGCACTGAGACACCTAGAAAGTGCAACCATCGACGGTACAGATCTTTGCGAAGAGCTGATTTACCTATGCAGCCTGCTGCCCACTGGATGCTGTGCTCCCCAGCAAATCCTCCATTTCATTCTAGACAACCATCTACGCGACAACTTGCCTTACACGTGGGTGTCATTGAGGGTCCTCTGCAATTGGCAAGTATCAGTGGCCACCGCTCAGAGGAGTTTCTCAAAATTAAAGCTTATTAAGACATACCTAAGATCAACCATGACAGATGACAGGCTATCGTCATTGGCAATTTTGTCCATTGAAAACAGGATAGCGTCTAGCCTAAATATGTCGCAAGCCGTAGCTCAACTTGCAATGTTGAAGGCTCAGAAAGTTGCCTTCTAGGGTACTTGACATGGTTAACTTGTGCCAGGGGTTGGCTGTATGGCGATACAAATGTATCGCGATAGTATTTCAGAAATACATTTCCTATCTGTACTTCTGTATCGCGATAGATTTTTTTCACCACTATTTGTATTCCAGTATCCAAATACATTTGGAATATTTCTTTGTATCGCGATAGAATCAGGATGAAATGTATTTCGTTACATTTCAGAGAAATACACCCCACCCTCCCCCAAAAGAAAAAAAGAAGTCAGAACGCTATTTTTTTATTACTTCTGAGTGCCCCAGGATCAAGCAGATGCTAAGACATTGTTACTATGTTGACCAAGGTTCCTTCCGACTCTCCGAACTAATTTTCCATGCGTCCTCTTCTCTCTTCTGAGAAATGCTGCGTAGTCGGGGACTCAAACCAGGTGGCGTGTCAGGGATAGAGACAGAGCATCTTCTGCCCCAGGTCCTTAGTTAGAGATTTCTTGAATCATTGTTTGCTGGCACCTAATGCCCGCTGCTAACCGTCTCTCCCGCTTTAGCGTACACAGTACGCCCAGCCGGTAAAGCTGAGTCTCAGTTTGCTGCAGCCCGAGCCTGGTGATGGTTGGCTTGAAATAGTAGGATGACTCACGCAGTGAAGTTCAACATATAGTCGAATGCGTTGAATGAACGGCTCAAGGTTATTGCATCAGCCGACGTGAACGTGACCCGCTGCTCTGGTGATCCGAAACTAAGGAAGAAGGCCAGACGTGGCCTCGCTGTGCCGACCCAGACTTCGTACACCTGCGACTCGTCTCGAGCGCGCTGTTTCTTGGAGAGCTCGCACCTGTGCCGGCAATATCAGGTCGCAATTCACGAGGGTTCTGTTTGGATGATGCTAGGCGAAGCTTGAGGACTGCAATCAGTGCGTCGGTGGCGGTGGGTCGGCAGAAAGGACATCCACAACAGGGATGGTACCATATCGTTTTTTCAACCATAGCAGAAGATAAGACATGTGTTCCAGGATGCTTCAGGTGGTCTACTATTCTCGAAAGTTCTAAATGACACTGCGTGCAAGATTTCAACGAGCTAACCTACAACGAAAGTACGCATTGTCCTTTCATACAGAAGCGTGGTAAAGTTTCATGTTCAAGGCCACAGATATACTAGTTCATTCCACCCTGACGTCATATGATCTATGCTGACATGGGCGTCCTTATTGGACAAGGGCGTGGTGATATTTTGATGGGATTCAGGGTGACATAAAATTTATTTAGAGGTAGAAGTATTTTCGCATCCTTCGTTAGACAGATGGGGCGTCAGGGAATGAACCGTGGTCAGTCCTTGATGGAACATTTTTTGAGCCCATTGAAAACTCCTTGTCGTCCGCAACCACTACCTTCAACGCAAAGCAAAATGACTACGGGAAAGTAAATTCGGGATCAAAAACTTCTACTTTAAGCTTCATCGTAGTTGACGTCTCAAACAAATTTGAAAAGTGTATTGAAGTATTACTATTTCTTTATTTGTATTTCTGCCCTCCCGAAAATGTATTCCTGTATTTGTACTTCCGAAGACTTTTTGCCTCTATTTAAATTGTATATCCGACACGTATCGTGATACATTTTACAGATATATTTCAGTATCAGTATTTTAGCTACTATTTTATTGGATCCCAGTATTTGTATTTCCAAGTACATTTTTGGGTATTTCTGCCGAACCCTGACTTGTGCTTTCGTTTTCTCTGTCCATCAGACGTTAGCTTGCATTGGGAGACCCACTGCTGAAATTCGGTTAATCTGAGAAATAAATGTATTTTGAACCATTAGATCACGGTGCCTACAAAACGCTCAAATGCTCGGGAACGTCGTTCATTTTTAGAATGTGCTTCTCGACTGACAACGACAAAATCGCGACCATTCGCGCTGGGTCAATCTGGCATGTTTACTAACAACGTGATGTTGGGTGCGAAAATAGGCGGGGGGAGGGGGGGGGGGGGGGCGCCACGGCCGCAGTTTGCCCAGGGCGCTTGCTGCTCTAAGGCCGGCCCTGACGTTGTGTGACGTTAAGTGTGACACAATCCCATGATATTGCGACGTGACGTGACATAATAAAACACCTTCCGTGTTAATATATATATATATCTATATATATATATATATATATATATATATGCGTGTGTGTGTGTGTGTGTGTGTGTGTGTGTGTGTGTGTGTGTGTGTGTGTGTGTGTGCCAGCCTTACCAGGTAGGTGCACTCTTTATCTCCGTTAGGTCCCACCAAATCGCCTCCCCAGTGGGCGGGTAACTGCGACGGATCCACATACTTGAGCATCACCGGCTGCCAGTTCTCTGCAAGGGTTCATGCCGATTCAGGGAAAAGGTTTGCCAATATGCATATCAAGGATTTATGGTAATTGATGACTGTAGTATTCAAAGGCCAGAGCAACTGTCAGGTTACTATTTAGATCTGTGCTTGGCTATCTACTTAAATAACTGGTTCGGTAAACTGTTAAGAGGTATGAAAAAGCAGTGCCTTCTGTCTGAGGTTGTTCTTAATTTATACGTGTTAATAATTGTGTGCGCTATGTTCGCCCCATTGATTATATAGTATATATTATTTTATTATTTTAAAGACACTGAAAACTACCTTTGTCCCCAATGTGCTGTGCCGCATAAAATGAAGTAATTAAGGAGCGAGCTTCTAAATTTGTTTAGAAAGTATTAAACTTGAGTTAGGGAGTGAAGAGCTCGTGTTTATTATTTAACTCCATGGGGCCTCATGCGAAGTGATCTGATGTCATGGTGTCAAAAAGTGCGTTATGGGACGTGGTCACGTGGCGTAACATTGTCAAGTGGATATGTCACGTGACATACGTTTATGTATTACACGCCAACTACATTGTTACGCTGATCTAGCGAAAAAAAACGCTCCCCGCGTGACCAATCGCGTGTCAGAGCACCTGCATTGGCATATGATTATGCACCAATTCAATTTTCCCCCTACATTAAGCGGGAACATGCGCGGCCGGAAGGGAAAACCTCAGGTAGTACGAAATTACGTTAAGAACCATTCCATACTTTAAAAATAAAATAATCTCGTTCATTCGTGCATTGTGCGGGACGTGGTAAAATTTATAGAAAATACAAAACATACCTGAAACACTTAGTTGGGGGAAGGAAAGGGTAAGGTGAACTGCGAATTAGAAGCCCTCTGTCGTCAAACTACTCACCTCGAAAACGTGCTGCCACGTAACACGCAAACGATCACTTAATAAATGTGTAGCAATATATTGCAATCTATAGTTCCTCATAAAAATCATGTAATCACAGTGGCAACATAACGCACAACACAATACCGCTCAAGGGTACTCACCGCGTAAAAATATTTCTACCTTGTTCTTTGTATTTTCCGCGAGAAATGGCTGCAGAAGTTTCCAGAATATAGGGAAGAAGCCGGGAGCTACAGAAAGAAACAAATGCTATACAAAAGTTATTTATTATTTCTCAATATTATTGTTGATTTGAAGTATGCGGTTGTGCCTTCTCATTAAAGTGCTGATGTAAATATTAAAAAATTGGTCCTTTTTTCGATAAGATCGTATTTAATTCATATAGCTTTTTTCCGGACTGTGTCTAACATACGATATAAAGACATGGCTCGTCTCAGATATTCGTTTGCTAAATATTGCCAAAAATAGGCAAGAAATTGTGGTGTAAACGACGTCAAGACAGGTTCTGAATTGATGCACTTCTTGTTGAATAAAACTGTAGATAAACTGCTGACCTATTGAAAATAGTTATAAAACCACGTGTTCAACCTCTGGGCACAATATTTCTGGGGCAGAACTCAGAATATATAAACTTCAGTATGCTGTCTGCTCGTTTGTCAATCTAAGAACTCATTCAGTGCACCAGAGTTCAAAACTGGAGCGATCAAAAACCAACGATAAATCGTAAATCTTTATGCAAATCCAACGCGGCGTTCACTTTTTATTTAGTTCTTCGAGTAAACATTATGACGTACGTACAATCACCTGGTGTCTACACTCACCATTGATGATCAAACATCGCTCAAGTATCTCCGGATAGTATTTCTCGTAAAGCGCCGTCAGGTGTCGGAGAAGTTCTATTACTGGGGAGAAAATGGCGTGATTTTAGTACTAAGATTGGTCACTCACATACCTTGTTAAGTTTGAAAGCCTACATTGCCAACAGTAGACTTGCTTGAGCTGGAAGTTGTCGTAATCAAATACGACAGTAACGGTCTCCACGACTCTTCTTGACTGAAAAGACCGGTTTGGATGACAGAAGTGTGGAGTATTAGCAACTGTTTCTACTACCGTTGGTATTCAACGGCACGCATATTGGTGTTCGCGCTTCTTGGGCGGCGTGGCGATCAACGACCCCGTTTTCGTAATGTTGTTTTACACCATCAAGATAGTTGTTTTTGGATGAGAGTAAGTCAAGGCTCACTTTGAGATTGCGCTTATACAACAGAGAGTTAAATTATGGTTACCAGACGAATGAAGACTACATCAATGGTACCTATAAAAACAGAAAGATACAACAACATGAAATATAATTACAGATGGCCAAACTACTATTTAATGACTTAGACGCTTGACCAATGCCTTATGTGGATATGTGAGTAAAACTTACGGAAAGGAACAAATATTGGTTCAAAATGTCTGCGCTCCCGACAGTGGATATCAAACTCCAAAGGGAGCACCGCCGAACTGAAACCTTACCTTCTCGGTCTGCATCTTCATGTCTGCCATCAGCATTTCTAGGTGGTACGTGGCATGCTTCACTATCGCGTCCATGGACACGCACTGGGCGATTCCTGTGTTGGAAAATAACAAGTTGTTCGCCACGTCGTACGAAATTGATGTGCTGTGTTAGAAACAGTGGCTCTCGAAACTGGTCGTAAAACTATTCCTTACTTCACAAAAGGGATTAAAAAGCACAGGTGTTTATGCCCACCTTTCAGCAATGTTTCACCTTTCTGCTTTCCTGCGCATTGGGCGGAGAATAATTTATGTTGTACTTAAAGGTTATACGTATTAATTAGGCTTCTCGCAGCAAACGCAGAAAAAAATCTGGGAATTTAAATTCTTATTTAAACCACCTGCTGATTTCCACCTTCCCCAAAACATTTCTAAACAAAGTCGGTTATTCTCAATGTTCACTAAAGATCGTAACTGCACACTGGGCATTCCTGACAGTTGGGTGCCACAGAATCAGCGTTCCATATGTAAGCTGTGAAAGGTCACCCTGACCTTTCGCGTGTTTACTGTGATACATTAAAGTGATCATGCCACGGTCACAAAGTTATGACGTAACCTGAATAGTAGCTCACCCCGTCCATCGATTTCGCTATCCTCCCTCCCTCGTCAACTTTTCACACGACGTCGGGTTTGCTTTTGAACGACATGTCGCGCCGCGTTTAGTTAAAGAATCAATCATTTTCACTGCGATTGGCAGGCTATGTCATAACACTTAAAGGGTGGTCAATAAGTTTTGCCTCCTAGGCTGTAATATATTTTTTATTAGCGATGGAATTTAGAAATGTTACATTCGAATGAAAGTATGAAATCATTCAAATATTTCCTGGGTGCCTGCATATGCCGGCATACACGGTAGCGAGTGGGCACGTAGCAAGACGCGAGCAACAGTTAGCCGCGCCAAACGCATCCAGCATTTTAGCCTGTGGAGAACCGTGCCCGGCTGACCCCATGACAGCCAGGGAAATCGCCAAGCAGCGAAGACGAAGGACTCTTCTCTACTTCCGCGAAGAACAGGAGGTACGCCCGGATGCGTGGAGACGCCCCGCTGCCCCGTTGCCGGAAGAGTCGTCGAGGTGCGCTCAGGCCCTCGTTCCTCCGCCTCCCGACAAACACTGCCCTATGACCGGCGCTGAGCCATAGGCTCGTTCCCGACAACCCCGACGAAGGCCGCTGCCGTACGCCCACGACTACCACTCACTCATGCAGTCTGGGAGTGCGATCGCCCCGAGCGTCTTCGCAGACAAACACTATTCAAGCTTAGCAATGGATTTTGTTCTGGAAATCTGTCGATACTGAAACCAAACGCCGGAAAGACAACCCTCGTTTGACGCCGGAGTGTCACGTGTTAATGACAAAATTTGCGTCACTTCTAAGCCACAGCAGGTCGAAGCATTAACTTTTTGCTAAGTAGTTTATCTTCGGATAGCTTTTACAGTTCAGCTCTTAGGCACCCATTCCCGGGTTTCGCGGCGTCAGCATCGGCATAACCGCGCTAAATTTAGCGGGAAAATTGACCGTCACGTGACCTCAACACTAATTTAATTCTCCGCTAAATTTAGAGGTAAAATTCATTTTCTAAGCTCGATTCAGCCGACAAATTCAGTTTCCCCTCTAGATTTAGCAGGAAAATTGACGTCAGGTGACCTTAACACCATTTCAATTCCCCACTATGTGACGTCAACACCAATGCCAATCCCCGCTAAATTTAGGGGAGAAATTCAGTTCCTCTACTAGATTTACTGAACAAAAACTGTTTATAACAGTAAAAAAACACAAAACAAGCAGAGGGAGAAAAACAGACATGTACAAGCTTTCTAAATTCTGTTTCTCCGCGAAATTTAGCGGGAAAATTTACGTCACGTGACTTCAACACCAATTCAATTTTCCGCTAAATTGAGTGGGGAATCGATAGGGGTTGAGGTCACGTGATGTCAATTTTACCGCTAAATCTAACGGAGAAGCTGAATTTATTCATGGGTGACGTGACACCTAGTCATGTGTCGTCATAATCTCAAAGCTAAATTTAGAGTGGGAATTGAATTTAAGGAGGAGGGGAGGAGGAGGGATATACTATCTTATCCGTACCCTCCCCCCTCCTCCTCAACAGCTGCGCTCTAATGTCGCGTTACAGAGATTTGAACATAGAGTTATTACAATAAACGCTAGAGGCTCAGCTGGCGCTAGTGTGCTGTTGCAAATTGAAGCAGACAGCATGCAGTCAAAAATTGACTTCCGGTAATGCATTTCTATGGGACAAAGCGAGTGCATTTTCTCTCTGCGCTCGATTATAAGAGCAAATATCACGAATAATTTGTACGTACTAGGCACATTGGAACATTTCTCAGTCACGCAGACGAAATAATTGGTCAGTTACAGCATTTTTATTTGAAATTCGCGGCATTAAAAACGGTGGTAAAACCGCTTCGTACGTGTATTTATGGGCACTGTCGGACACTGTTAGCGCGAACACGGCGTCGACGCTTTCCAGCATGGGGGATATACGTGCCAAACGAACGAACGACATGTGGAAAACCAAGAGAGACGGCAAGAACTACGCAGTAACACTGGGTAAGTAAGTCCTTGTGCTTGCAGACGATCAAAATAAGTTCAAAGTCAAGTAATATAGTCCGATTTGCAATAAATAAGTATTGCTTTATTCCTTCTGCTCATGAATATGTGCGAAGATGCTTGTTCTGTGTTCAAATCATCGCCCGCACGCTCCAAATCTTTGCAAATAGGGGGAAGCCAGAGGACAGGTGCGCGATAAAAACTCCCCAACATAGGAAATAATAAGAAAACACACCTTTCGTAGCCCACGTACTTTATTCTTTACGTTTCGAACGTTCTTTTTTCTTTTTAACCGCTCGTAGAGATGCACGACGAGGTCATTTTCATATAGTGAGAGGACAGGCATATTAGCAATATATAAGCACCAACGGAATGCTGGCGAACTTTGAACACACTCTACATTCCTTTCGATCGTTATTTTGCTTAGAATCGTCGCTCGTTTGTACATACCTGCCATGGAACAGAGGTTTGAGCCTGAAATATAGCGAAGTTTAACATCGTTCAGTGGTGAAGGAAAAATGCTGTAACTAAAGCAATTACACTTTCACAATATTTATAAAGGTACATACTACCCGGTACAACCGAAATAACAAAAGTTATTAATGTTATTTTCCGCCGACAAGACAAAATTCACGCGCGTTTTCCCATAGGAATACACAGGAAGACTGGAAAAGTAGACTGCATGCTGTCTGCTTCAATTTGCAACCGGAAGTCCTATAGACACTAGCGCCAGCTGAGCCTCTAGCGTTTATTGTAATAACTCTATGGATTTGAAAACGTCTTTAATTTTCCTTAACCAGACTCGCACCCATGATTAAGCCGGTGTGGGGTGGGAAATAATAAAGGAGTATCGTGGGGCCTTGTGGGCAAGTATAAGTCACCACCGGATAACCTTTACACCGTATCGGGGGAGGTAATTAGTGGTCACCTGTAAAATCCCCGTTGCCAAAGCGCATGATATACAAAGGCCTGCCATCCCGATCATGGTTGCACAGACCCCCTGGGAAGTAGCGCCTCAATACCTGCGTGCACAACAATCAAAAACGGTTTCAAAAAATCTTGTGGACCGCATATGTGCCCAATGATTGCGCTCCCTTCACAGCTATTTTGAATAACACGTTTGTTTTAACTCTAGTCTTAGAGTATTGATAAATATGTATGTTAACATGTTTTGTTCTTCATATGTATATTGAAGGCACAAGAACGTCAGTTAAAAAGCACGAAAATGGCAAGGTCTGTTGCTTCCCCCTCTATCTTTCACCTCTTTGAGAATAGTCTGAACATTTTAACATGGTAACCTAACTTACCATGTCTGGAACATGTCTTCGTGATCCGTGATTAAAGTGTATTTATTTTGTTCTCTAGAGTTCCGCCGGACGACGTCATAGAGGAGAATGCCTGTCCTGTCACAGTTGGAGAGTCGGATACCGCAGACACCTTCTGCTCTAGCTCACATGTAATGAGCCATTTGAGAGAAAACTCGAGCAGCTACTGGGTTGGAGCACCCCGACGCCTGTGCTACCTGCTCTTCATGGACGCCTTTTTTTCCATGGTCAGGTACAAGTTAAGAATATGCCAGAAGCTTCTCTCTCACTCTCATTATACCCGAGTCACACGACGGACCGAATCGCGATTTTCGTCCGCGGACCGTGTACCACGTGACCGGCACGTCACCGATTCCTGCGATCCGCGCCTCGTCCGCGGAGACGCGGACTGATAAAGTCGAGCGCCTTTTTCACTCGCGGACGTTTGGCGGCAGATTGACTTGGAAAGCGTTTAGTCTGGCAACGGTACATTGTTTTCTTGGTTTTTTGCTTCTGGGCGTTCAAAAAAAAATGGCGCATCGTTGTGTTTTGTGCGTGGTTGGTTCATTTTGACGCGCGAATCTTGGTTCCACGAGTGAAAGAAACTCCAGAAACTTGTCTGGCTGACGCGACGCAGGTTTCGGTACTCCTCCGGGTCCGTGTCAAGAAGCTCCCGTCAAAATTTGTCTAGCACGCCGCGGTAATTCTTGCACGTCCGATCAGGATTTCACCGAGCAAGACCTCTCTTGTAAGTCGCGAATGTGGTGTGCTTGAGTGTTGTGCACGAGCGCGGAGTGCGTGAAGGCATCTCCAAACGCCCCTCCAGGAGCCCAGAACTTCGTCGCGTCTACGCCGAGGCTTTCTCGAGCAGGACCATGCCTGTATCACTGTCATGCTTTGGGTTAGTAAAGTTAGTGGCGCTTGGTGCGAAGCCTGCCCCGGTGTTTTGTCTCGATCTGTGCGTAACAGCAGCGTACGATTCTCAATCGCGGTAGCAAACGTCGATTTCTCTCTTGGACAACGGTGCCACGGTGCGATGTTGGAGTTTCGCGGCACTGTGGGGTAGCGAGCTGGATCGGTCCGTCCTCGCTGGCGTCTGCTCGTCGTCTCCCTCGTGTGGATGCGCTTGGGAGACGGATGAACCGCGGATATGTCATCACGTGATCAATCCGTCCGCGGATCAGTCCGTCGTGTGAATCGGCTATTACCGCCTCGTAGTGTTCCTCCGCGATGCAAACCTTTTCCGCTACCGTGGTGCCCGTCGTGCTAACGTCACATAACTTGTCGGAGCTATTGCCTTGATTGGTTCGCGGCTCAATTCGATGCCATGTTTTGTACGCGGTGATGTTTATTTGAAGCATTCCTGTTTTGTTTCCGCCCTTATAATCGCGGCAATCCGAAGCGCTTCTTCGCAGTTTTTGCTGTCACAGAAATGAGCGGCATGCAGGAATAAAAAGATACGCGTTCAAACGATGAAGCCGAAAAGTTTTGTGGAAACCGGGCCGGGCGCGATGGTCAGACGCACAACTGCACCAGTGTCGTCGTCGTTTTCGTCACACTGTGACGCATTTAGCTGCCATTTGGTGGATATTCCGATGAATGAAAAATATAGGGCGTTAAGGACACCGCTCAGAGGTCTCTTCTAAGCACCACAGATAAATCGCAGCTGGTAATATCTGAGTTTAATCTGCCTCTAGTTCCTGGTGACCGACAGAGCTGAAGGTTTTTGTTAATACACAATGAGCAGTGTGGGACCTCGAACCACTGTAAATTTTGTTCTTGATATCGGGAACACTCAAGTGGCAGTAAAGCGTCTCGGCAAAACTTCATGCAATCAACTACTCCTCTTGTGCGTGTAAACAAATTTCAGAATAAGATGTATTTCGAAAGACAAAGCGTATTCTAACAAATGTTGCTTTGCAGGTCACATACTCCAACCTAAAAAATGTGTAGAAAACAAGCTTCAGGTAGCACGACGCTCTTAAAGCTCATGGTATCGAGGGTTTTATTTTCTTAGAATTTGTGCAGTAATAATTTTCAACAGCTTTGGGCATCCTGTAGTAGTTTCTTTGATGAAATATTTGATTGCATAAAGTTATATTTTTTGTTTAACTTACTTCTGGACACTCATACGTCTCGATGAGGGAGTCTACGTTGTTTTGTTGTCTCCATATTAGGCACTGGAAAAAACACACCAAACTTGACATTTGTTCATACAAACACTTCTTAGCTCATACGTCAAACACGGATAACCATTCTATTGTAAGTGTCAAGCTCACTTCTTTTGGCACGAATCTCCCAGAAATCGTAGCGCTAAGATAGAACCCGTAGATATCGGACGTTGTTACATTTCGGAAATATATAACAAGATATTGATGGCGCCACAGCACTTTTAAGGAGGTGGACAACATGATGATTTGCTGGAAGTACCCGTGTAAGTTAGTAAACGGAAAAGTATACACTCCTATAGTGTGCGAATAACAACGTCGGAGCGAACTTTCTTACATCATTCCAAACAGAATGCAGCACTGCGGTGCTGCATTGAGATGAGCCTCTCTCCTACAAATGTCTTGGCTCACTGTGGCATTAGCTTTTTTATTTACCCAAGTTTGCCAATTTATGGTAATACAATATATTCTATACTAGAACAACGAGTTAGACATGTTTCACATCTATGTTTAATGGTGTGGGATAGACCGTGGCACCACCTTATAGGTACAAGTGTCCGCGTCCAACAACTTACTTAAGCGATAGCATTAAGAAGCTCGCTGTTCAGGAAAGCCAATGACGGTGTACGATGTCTGTGTCGGCAATGGTGCAACGGGAAAATCCTGATTGGTTCATAGGTCAATCATTTGCCTTGAAGTAAAAATTCGCAGAAGTTTGTCATTAAAGCAAATGAATTAGTTATGGACCAATCACGACCCTTCGTCAAATCAATTACTTGTGAGCCAAGCCGCGACATTTCGGTTACGAGCCAGACACGCTTCCCAATAGTCACCGCAGACACGCTTGATCGACTTGGGAACAAGCGGAGGTTTATATTTATCTATCGCGTTCCACTCTCAAAAACGATGCTTAAGCGACCTCATGTAATTTTTTTTAATAATTTGTTTTAGCACGTAATATATAGTCGAAGCTAGCCAGCCAAGGGGCGACGGCTTAAAACGACCACAGTTGAAATTAAATGATGTCATATGCCCTCTAAATAATTTATATCGCATTTTATAATAGGCTTAGCTTCACAAGAAATCATAGATGGTGACTGCATCCTAATGCTCTTCAATTGCAGTGTGTTCGGTATTGTTTCCTTGGAATTGCTTTAAACAATCGTCATAATTTGAAGTGTCGTACTATATCAGGTAGTCGCTGACAGCTCAAAAGAAACACAAGGCGTTGCTTCTTTCTTCTTTCTTCGTGATTGGTTCTCTCATGTTCTTATCGGCTGGTGCTGCAATCTCAGTGGCTGCAGAGCGATAAGAAAAGGATCGGGTATCGCCACGTACTGCTTTTATTAAGTTGCCAGTGAAAACAGAAGCAGAGAGGTGCGCATAATACATTCCCCGTTCTGCTCTTCAATATGTCACTTGCTCCGATAATACTTGCCACTTTTTAGCTAAGGCCAGATTTTGCTCGAATTACATTCATTACCAATATTTCATACGAAGCTCAATCTTTTTTTTTTTTTTTTTTAGTGGAGGTAGATGTGAGAAGGAGCCAAATTTATTTATCCCTTCAACCTCCCTTCAAAGAATATTTTCTTTTGCTCGGTGACTTGGGAGAGTACTGTGTTATTGCTTTCAAATACATGCTACTCAACCATCACGATTCGTGCTTAGAATTAGTCCATTTATTTGGTACCTTTTTTTTTAATTGTCTGCTTATGATGATGTTACGAATGTTATATCCATTTGAAAGTTTCCTCTTTGACTGCTTACTTTACAAACTGCATTCTTAGGTTTTCTTGCGTAGGAATGCATGAACACTTACTTCCCTCAGCATTTCTTCAGCCTTGCCCACATCGAAATCTCGAGCTGTCAAGGAAAGCGATAAGATCCGACTTAGTTGTTGATGTGGACTAACATGATATTTCGTTTTGATCGTGGCATGAACCCTAATTTAAAATATAGTATCAGTGCACAGTGGAAGCACATGTCTTTCACGCTGGTTTACATGACGTTCCCGCTTGGGTTAAATTGAATCTAAGAAGCTGGTTGAACGAGTCATCGCGCGTCTGGCCCATCATTCGGTGGGAATACCCTTGCTTTCCACCGTAGACGGTGCAGATTTCTGCGTAATAAGTTACAACTGCGTGCCTTTGACTGACCTGCTTTCATATATTTTGGTCACAGCACCGCAAGTTTGATTCCCTGATATCTCAACATACGCAAGCCTTGGACTATTATATTCACAATCCTCTCTTTATAATTCGTTCTTCGCCGGTGTGCATTGGCTAATACCTCAAGCTGCCGTGAAATACAAATATTTTTGGGGGCTCATACCTCCAGGTGTTTTGAAAACCACACCTCTAGTCCAGTTTCCTTCTCTGATTGAAGCCGAGAGGGTTTCGCATAGTATTCAGATCGGGGGCATGTTACATGAAAAATTATAGATCCCAGGTTTCTGTCTTGATTTTCGTCAACGTATTCCCCTATAGCTGGCGACTTGAATCTGGCACCAAAAAATATTGCACCCGTAAAAAAAGAAAAAAAAAAAATATATATATATATATATATATATATACATATATATATATAGATACACAGGATGATTCAAGGAGACGCCAGGCTCTTTAAATCGAGCGCAATATTCGGTTTCTTAATCTATCACACTACGACTTTGTGCAGCGTTGCCCACAGATGGTGATTTTTTTTTTTTTTGTAAAATTTGCAAAGAGCGAATTTACTCGAGGAAAGAGTAAAGAAAGAAAAAGGCTTAGATCCTATGGAAACGCACCGAAGCCACCGGTCTTCAAACAACACGGCGCCGTTTCACACGGGAGACAAGAGATGGCGCAAGCGGTCGCGACGCCAACTGCCGCCAACGAACGAGCATACGACGCTGAGAGCCGGCGTCTTTAGCAGACAAGGAACTGCACTTACTCGTTGTTACCACGCCTGTTTCTGTTTCTGCGACTGTCGCCGCCTGCGGAGCTTTTGAGTCGAAAAGATTGTCTGCTAAAAACGCCGGCTCTCGGCGCCTTATTCTCGTTCGTTGGTGGCGTTCGTTGCGCCATTTCCTGTCTCCCGTGACAAACGGCGCCGTGTTGTTTGAAGACCCGTGGCGTCGCTGCATTTCCATAGGAGCTAAGCCTTTTTCTTTCTTAACTTTTTCCTCAGGGAAGTTCGCTCTTTGCAAATTTTACAAAAAGAAAAAAAAAATGCACCATCTGTGGGCAACGCTGCACAAAATCGTAGCGTGATAGGTTAGGAAACCGAATTCTGCGGTTGATTTAAAGAGCCTGGCGTCTCCTTGATTCACCCTGTATATATATCTGTATATATATATATATATATATAATGAGACGAAGTATGTGGTTGTACTTGTCAATCTTCCCTCGCTCCCACTATATACACGCTGCAGCCTGTCCCCATGAGGAGGAGTGGTTCCCTAGAAATCATGGAAGGCGGGCCATGCACTTCCTGACATTTGCAAGCTGAAATGTCGTGCTACGTCACTGCCAGAACTCGGAACTAGCGTGGACCTTAAATGTGCTACGGTTGTCGTCTACCTACTTAAGCGAATTGGAAACTAACGGTATTCAGAGAGCCGGTCAAAAATTTAGTCTTCCGAAACCAGCGGCCGGGATGATGTAATCGGTTATGTCGTCGCCCCGGGTAGACGAGGTTTGTGAGTACGATCCCCGAAAATACACCTCCGAAATCGCGAAAACACCGCACCTTTTTATACGCACTGTAATCTTAAACAGACATCTTTTTTTATATTAAGTTTATGTATTGCAACCTGCTTTATAAAAGGAAACGCCTTCTAACCACGGAGCTCGACTTTTTCAACAGGTACTAATTTGCTATCTGGTTGAGGAAACTTTTAACGTGGCATCATAGGCTGCTTATTTAACGAGTTGCCAAATAGGCCCCAGGTCGTCGGTTTCGTCATGTCAGGAAGGTTCGTGTCGAGAATGTAGGAACGCGCCTCCCGTATTCGTTTCGTAAGCTGAGTCGACGAAGTCTGAGAAATCTCAGATATGTTTTTCTATTCTCAGTAGCAACTAAGAAATAAGCAAATATCAGGAAAACAAATTTATTTGATTTTGCATTATCAGCAACAAATATTGTCGTTTGTTGCTGATAACTAACAATAATTTTAACTTTCTATATGGAATCTTCAGTATGGAAGTCAATTTTTAAAATAAAAACCTTTTCAATGATTTGTTTTTCTCTCTTAACTTTTACATCTTCCAGCGTAAGCCTCAGAACATGTTTTGGAGGCGAGACAAAAGTTCCTTTGGTATCGCTATGAAAAATATTCGTCTGGGCACAGGTGTGCTATGCTACATTAATTTCAGTAGCCGCCGAGTCGCGCTAAGATTGTAGAATCACGGCTGCCGGTGCGGCGTCTATTTCCGTTTTAATTAGACAGCAGCGCATTGCGTTGAAGCGAGGGAGCGGGCAAGCCACCAGATAAGAAATTGCTGCAGAAACCACTATTGTTGGGTGTCTAGAAATTGCAATAGCGTTCGTCTAGGACAACCTCCAGGACAATGTCGGGAACGACATCCTAGAGGACGACATCGGAGGCGACTTTTAGGACGACCTCTAGGACGACAAGGCGATATTAAGGATGACGTGTTGGACGACCTCTAGGACGTCTAGGGTGATCACTCGGACGACCTCTAAGACGATCTCAAAGAGGACGTCTAGGACGATGTCGACCTCTAAACAACCTCTAGGATGTCGAGGATGATGTCAAGGTCATCGGCTCCTTCGAAGAGGGTGCGAATGTGAAGGTGTGTGAGAATGTGACCTGAAATGGTTTACTGCGCATACTTCTCGGGCATTAGGCGGCCAGGAAGTCCCAGAAATCTGGGGGAGGGGGGGGGGGGGGGGGGGAGTGCGGAGGGTGGGGAGGGGGGGGGGGTACGTAATAAATGCTATCACATGAAGAGGACACGCATACCTACTGCGCGGCTCTCGGCAGGGAGCGTGGCGATGCGAATCGGTCTAAAGCCCCTTTAAATGTGTCGGCGCTCTGGTGTTATCTGTGTGACATCACTTCCGTCATTAAGTTTTCGTGACATCGATCTCCCAACCCTGCACCTCCTTCCGAGCGCAAAGAAAGGCGTTGTTTTACGTAAAAAAAAAAAAGACTGTCGCCTGAATTGCTACTTTGGTTGTCGTTGAAAAGCTGGAGCATTTTGCAACGTCTTGTGCGGCGTAAAAGATTGTTTTTGTTATTTCCCTGCTTACTAACTGCCGTGGAAAGTCCAGGAATATTTTGACGTCCATTAAATTTTATGTCACATTTAAAAGAAGTTCCATAATTTTCAGATTTAACTACCTACCCCCCGGGGAAACGCCTCCCGCTACCAACGAACGGCTTTAGTCGTAATATTGCTGAACTTTTAATAAATATTTTTTTTATTTTGTGTATAAACATAATATGCATATATACAAAATAAAAAGCCACTTTATTCGCCATTCAAAACATAATAAATATTATAACATTGGCCCTGCAGACATAATTGAATTAGGCTTATGACAGATGCGCGCCGCCTGTTTCGTTGGTTACAGACCAATTAGCTACGGACGCGAAATTGCGTTGTGTTCGTCCGTAAATGCTAGTGTATCCAATACCACACATGATATTCCTTAGACACCGTATTCGAGTGCACTGTTTGCAATACATGCTGAGATCAACACCCCCCCCCCCCCCCCCCCCCGTTATTTATTTACTTAATTTGCCACTCATGACTATAATGTGATTTGTTTAGGAGGCTTAGACTCCAGATATTCAACAGTTAAAATATATAGGCCAACTAACGCAAAAAAGTGGCTGAGTGTCCGTTTGAGCTCCGACTATAGGAAACCTGCAGTGCTGTTTGGTTTGGCGCTATGTAGCGATTGAAGCAAGAAACATTGGATATGGCTGGGAATGGTGGCTGCATTGTTCAAACGTGAGCTATTCTTCTGGTGGCGCCGCTTAGCCTAGCGTCTGTAGCAAGAAATACTACGTAGGCTAGGAAGCCGTGATCGGTTAACATAACAGTACGGCTGAAGCTATGGCCCTGGCGGGCCAATCGAAAGGTGACTTCGTATCACCGGAGTGCGCCTTTACTCCGAAGAAGTATGAGGCTTTTCGCTGTGTCATGCGCTAATATATGTGCGTGGCGCTCGTATAAGTAGCGCATATCGAAGCCGTCGGCACGCAATGTTGGGCTTATCGTTCACCCCTTTGCCATGTTACAACGAGGCAGGGTATAACCGTGGGCTCTCGCTGTGCTGGCGCCACCTGACTGTTGCGGCTGGCTATAGCACCTGCCGGTGCTTGTCGCCGCGGTCATAATCTGAACTCGTGGTCCCCGCGCCAGTCAAACCAACGTTGTTGTTTTTTTATCTCTGACTAGGCAACTGTGATGATATCTAAAAATGCACCCGATAGCAGCGCGTGCGCAGCAATGGCGCGATATTTTCAAGCACTTTCATACAGACACAGATAGTACACTACTGCAATCTTGCACGCATGCTATCTTTCGGTGCTTTTTCCACGAACCTTATCGCGTAGCGGCAGCGGCACCCGATGTCTTTCCGTCTTCCCTCGGCATTTTCAGCCTGCTTTGTCCGCGACTGTAAATACTCTCTACAGCTTTTCCTAAGAAGGAACGAGTGAATTGTCTGTATTCACCTCGTTTTATCGTATTACTTTTCCAATACTTGTCAACAAACCATGTGCATATATGTCTCCTCGAGACAAGTGGGTTGCCAATAATTTTAATCTGCGAAATAAGCTGAAATATTAGCAGTGTTAGAAATGAAATTATTACTGATGACGCACAGAATCACATCTAAAACGTCATTTGACGTGTATCAGCGCAAGTTTCATTTTCGTACGAAAATACGTTTTTTTCTTTATTCCATTAGTTCTTTTAGTGAATCTGAATGATTGCCTTAAACCGCGTTTTGTGATGAACACAAAAAAAAATGAAAAAACAAGTGCGCTTTTTTTTAAGTAGAGCGCACATTGTTTGAGCTAAAAACCTAAAGCATGCGTATGTACACATAAAACAAAATATTCGTCGAAACGGGGCACTGTTTACACAAAATATACCGATTGATTTAGCAATTTCTGCTTGATTGCGTTGAGTCTCACCTCTCAGGAAACGAAGCAGAAGCCTGTCCGTGAACTCCTCCTTCCAGATATCAGAGAGGCGGTGCTTTAACTGTTAAAAAGAAAAAGATGATCAGCATTTTTCTATTTTCTTACTTCAGCTCATTTCAGTTTATACAATCTCAACCCCCCCCCCCCCCCCCCGCCCCCCCGTTTTTTTTCTTTCTTTTTCTCACTGAGACTCCGAACCACCAAAAGGAGTGCAAAGATTGATTTACACGTATCCTGCAATAACGACGTGCGTACCGGCGTGTACATAAAGGCAATCACATGTCGTGTGGAATTTGAAAGGATTTCGCCTCCGTTTTTGCACACAGCAAAGCGTAACGACAATCCAAGTTTTTGCTTTGAGACGGCACCTTCCGATTAAGCTAAAAAGATGGAACACAAAGAAACTTACCTCTCCGAGCGCCAGCTGCTGCTTGTCGCTCAGATCACCCTCACATCCACTCATGATGCCGCTGTTAAAAATCAGCGAGCTTTACTCCGCGCCAGACTAACAGCTTCAAACCAACGTTAACTGCTCATGAACAAGGACACCGTCCCGTTTAGTGGGAATTGAAGACCGGTTGAGGAAGGAACAGAGGAGCTCGCGTACGTGCCGGACGTGTAACTGTCGTCAGAGTAGGGATATTGCTAAACACTAAACGCACTCTGTTGGCAGTCCTCACTGGCTGTTGGAACAAGAAGGACGGCATTTAGTGGCTGGCGATAGCATCCCCAGCCATCGGGAAGTGTTCGAGCAACACTTTTTTTTATCTTTATCTAAAGACAATGGAAGAGGCATATCCCATATCTGGAGGCGTTTCGAGAAAATCGAGAAACATGGGTGTACAAATTCAAAAGCGCAAACACCAAGGAAAAGAAGAGGGGACAGGACAGAGCGCCTGTCCTGTCCCCTCTTCTTCAAAATTCAAAAGCGTTAGCGCTTTTGAATTTTTATACAATGTGTAGCCAGCGAGTCCAACAGTTTTGATTAAACATGGGTCGTCTCACATTGTTTCAACGTGCAAGACGAGTTATGCGGAAATTGTCAATTACAGTGTCGGGTTTCCAAATTCCTTCTTTTTTTAGATAGTGAAGTGGTGGGGAGATTATTTAGGTGGCGCTGATTTTTTCGCTCTACATATATATATATATATATATATATATATATATATATATATATATATATATATATATATATATATATGTATATATATTGCCACGTTGCAGAGTCCTGTTTTGTTTTTAAAGAATATTATGTGTATTATGTCATTCGCATTTAGCGGCCGAAACGCCCTTCAGGAATATCTTGCACAATCTTGTTCCTGACCTCAACGTACAGCGACCTGTTTTTGCAGTTGAAAGCTTTGGACCCTTCAATGTCAACGATTGCTTTTTTTTTTTTTTTTTTTCTAGTGGGCAATAAGATTTTTGATCTAATATGACCACACGCAATAGTTTTTGTTTTCTTGTTTCGTTTGAAAAGCTACTTCTATAATCAAATGAAGTGAGACTCATACAGGCGCATTTTCCAATGCTGATTTTTGGTTCCAATTCCGATTTCTTATAAGCAACAGCAACACACAACAAGATAGACGATTCATTTTTTTTTTTTGCGTGAAAATCCTTTTTGCACCTGCTTACAAAAAAAGAAACCGCCTTTTTTCGATTCACAATTAAGGGTCACTGACATCTCGACATTTCATTGTTTTTAACGCTTCGTGATGGCGTAATGTAATCCCCAAAAAACATGTAGCAAAAAAAAAAAAAATAGTTTTGCTCTGAGAACCATTTCACCAAAAGCCGCCTTTTCCTAAGCTCCTCCTCGTTTTGCTTTTGCGATGATGAAGATGGCGAAGGCATATATTTTTCAACAACTTGGGGGTAGACTATTTGTATGTTTCTAACGATCATCAAGGAAAATATTCAAATATTTTGTTTACAACGATTGGAAACGCACGACGCCGCTGCTTTTTAAATGAAAAATAAATTAAAGTCAGGAAGTTTTTAGCGAATCACTGGTCTATTAAAGAAACTGCGACTTAAGGGCCGTGCCATCGGCACGTGGAGAAAAAAGACAGGATGCGCGGAGTAAAAGAGGCGCGCGGTCGGTGGGCAAGACGCTGGCACGAGCACCCGTCGTCCGATAAGAGAAGAAGAGACAGAACGACACTGGGAGTTCTAGTCCTTCGAAAAAGCAAGAAATGCACCATTTCGATATTGACTGTCTACGTTTATGACTTCCGAAAACGCGTCATATCCGATTTCCCTTATTTATTTTTTCCTTTTCTGTTTTTGTCACATGCGCAGTTACCAGGCCACCACGTTTGAGGATGATATCTAGGAAACATTTATTACAGTTGTTTTCAACGATAAAACAATTATCTTTCAATAGTCAATAGCCCTTCAAGGTCCGCAACATTCCTTATTTACCCATGATTCCCCTCGTTCTTACTTGCTTAGAAACACAGGTTCAGCTTTATCAGGTCAATTGCTACTTAGAAACCTTCAAACTAATATCCATTTTTTTTAACAAAAGTGTAACTTATGCACTAGATAGAAGGTCACAAACCTACTGCCCCCAAGTGAAATCTTACCAACCACTGGAGTTCATCCTTCTTTGTGGGATACATGTTTCAAACCGTCCATCCTGTTAGTTATAAAAATGTATTCAAACATCCCTGCTTTACAACACTGTTTTTAATGAAAAGCAGACTTCAGTCTTTTGATTTTATCGTTGAAAGAAAACACCTATTCTCATATTATAATGCATGAAAAATAATCAACGAGTGTAAAACTAAAAATGGATATTTAATGAGGCGAACGTGTGCTTATATTGTCACGGGTGGTGACCAAAATAAAAGGAAATAAACGGGAAGAAATAAACGTTTAATGTGGCGAACTTGTGCCAAAAAAATAAAGGGAGAACAAAGATAATAACAGAGCGTCGCGGGCGTCGAAGTCGGCGTAGCAGCACAGTCGAACGCTGGAGCGAAACTGACTCCGGCTTGCCTGCGGAGCCGCTTTTGTACACACGTTGGCTTCTGGAGCATTCGACGTAGAAGGTTCGACGCGTAGAAAATTCTGACCTCGAATCAGCTAGACGGTTCTCGATTTCACCAGAACATCACATTACAGTGTTAACAAAAATGCATAGCCGCGGCCAGGAATTGAACCCTGGCCCTTCGCGTGGGAGGCAAGCGCGATAACCGTTAGGCTACGGCCGCGCTGCCTACTTGGCGCGCGGCATTACTCCCCCCCTAAAAAGTGCATCGCCCCGATGCATTTCAAAACAAAACAAAGCACATAAAAAGAACGGTAAACTAAAGAGTCACTTGAAACACATAAGATTCACAGTCCTATCGAGCGTAGTACGGCTTCAGGCGCACGACGTGGACGACTTCAGGTCGTGGTGGGCGGCGTGATGATGTTCTTGTTCCGTCAGGCATCACCTCGTAGTTCAGCTCGCCGAGGCGACGAAGTACCTTGTACGGTCCAAAGTACCGTTTCAGCAGTTTCTCACTGAGGCCGCGGCGACGGATGGGCGTCCACACCCACACCCTGTCTCCGGGCTGGAAGTGAACGTCCCTGCGACGAAGGTTGTAGCGGCCCGCGTCGACGCGTTGCTGGTCTTGAATCATGATTCGGGCGAGCTGGCGGACTTCTTCGGCACGTTGAGCAACCGCCTGGGCGTAGTCGCTCTCATTGTCAGATGGCTCATGGGGCAGCATTGCGTCCAGCATGGTCGTTACCTTCCGACCATGTACCAACTGGAAAGGGGTGAATCCAGTGGTCTCCTGAACCGCCGTATTGTAGGCAAACGTGACGTAGGGCAACACCTCGTCCCACGTCTTGTGCTCTACGTCGACGTACATGGAGATCATATCGGCGATTGTCTTGTTGAGTCGCTCGGTCAGCCCGTTGGTCTGCGGGTGGTATGCAGTGGTTCGACGATGGCCGGTGCCACTGAGACGAAGGATCTCTTGCGTCAGCTGGGCCATGAACGAAGATCCGCGATCTGTAATCAGAACTTCGGGTGCGCCGTGCCGGAGGACGATGGACTCGATGAAAAACTTGGCGACTTCCACAGCAGTCCCTGAAGGAAGAGCTTTCGTTTCGGCGTACCGCGTGAGATAATCTGTGGCGACGATGATCCAGCGGTTCCCCGACGTCGAAGGCGGAAAAGGACCAAGTAGATCCATTCCGATCTGCTGGAAGGGTGTAGTTGGAGGAGAAATGGGCTGCAGAAGTCCGGCCGGCCTCGTCGGCGGTTTCTTGCGTCGCTGGCACTCGTGGCATGATCGTGTGTATAGGTGGACGGTCTTGGGGAGCTTCGGCCAGTAATACTTTTCACGAATACGGGCCAGTGTCCGGCTGTAACCAAGGTGTCCGGATGTCGGGTCGTCGTGGCAGGCTTGGAAGATCTCCTCTCGAAGGTCACTCGGGATTACCAGCAACCACGGTGTGTTGTTGTCGCCGAAGTTCTCTTTGTAGAGTACACCTTGTCGGATGGCGAAGGTCGGCAGTACTCGTGAGAAGACACGTGGCACGGTACTCCTGCCCCCTTCCAGGTGCTCGATTAATGCGCGCAGCTCAGGATCGTCCCGTTGACGTCGTGCCATATCGTCGGTGTTCACTGCTCCTAGGAAGCACTCGTCGTCATTGTCGTCGCTGCAGCCGGAAGGGGTTTCGACGGGGGCTCTGGACAGGCAGTCGGCGTCGCTGTGCTTGCGGCCTGACTTATAGACCACTGTCATGTTGAACTCTTGTAGTCGAAGACTCCATCGAGCGAGGCGTCCTGACGGGTCCTTCAGGTTCGCAAGCCAGCAGAGCGAGTGGTGGTCCGTGACTACACGGAACGGGCTCCCGTACAAGTACGGACGAAACTTCGTTATTGCCCAGACGACCGCAAGGCATTCTTTCTCAGTCGTGGAGTAATTTTTTTCCGCCTTGGACAATGTCCGACTTGCGTAGGCGATGACTCGCTCGATGCCTTCTTGCACTTGGACTAGTACTGCGCCCAGTCCCGCGTTACTTGCGTCCGTGTGAATTTCTGTTTCCGCATCCTGGTCGAAATGTCCAAGCACAGGAGGAGTCTGGAGTCGTCGTTTCAGTTCGTCGAATGCCTGCTGTTGCTCCTCGGCCCATTCGAACTTCTCGGCGTCCTTCGTGAGATTCGTAAGTGGTGCGGAAATCTTTGCGAAATCCCGAACGAAGCGTCGATAATAGGCACAAAGTCCAAGGAATCTTCGCACGGCCTTCTTATCTGTCGGCGCTGGAAATGCCGCGACGGCGCGAGTCTTCTCGGGGTCTGGGCGGACGCCTTCGTTACTAACCACGTGGCCAAGGAACTTCAGTTCGTCATAGGCGAACCGGCACTTTGACGGCTTGAGTGTGAGTCCGGCGGTCTGAATGGCTTGAAGAACAGCTCGGAGTCGTCTCAAGTGCTCGTCGAAGTCAGCTGAAAATACTACGACGTCGTCAAGGTAGACGAGACAACTCTGCCACTTCAGTCCTGCCAGTACGGTGTCCATGACACGCTGGAAAGTTGCTGGCGCCGTGCATAGTCCGAAGGGCATCACCTTGAACTCGTACAGCCCATCCGGCGTGACGAAAGCTGTCTTCTCTCGGTCCCGTTCGTCGACTTCGATCTGCCAGTAGCCGCTCTTCAGGTCCATCGATGAGAAGTATCGAGAGTGGCGCAGCCGGTCTAACGTGTCGTCGATGCGGGGAAGTGGGTAGACGTCTTTCTTCG